TAGAATAGAATAGAATAGAATAGAATAGAATAGAATAGAATAGAATACCTTTATTGTCATTGCATTCTACAAATACAATGGAATTTGAAAGCTACTCCAGCACAGTGTCCCAAACACCACATCACAATCACACTACAGAGTATTTAAAAATTAAAATAATTAAAATAATAATTAAAAACTAGTCTAAAACCTATCTAAAACATATAGTAAGTTAGATAGTTTAAAAATGCCACTATATACATAGGGCTAAATCACATATGCATTGTTTGATTCAAGACAATTATTGCCTTGGAAAAGAAACTGTGACATATATAGCAGTGTTCCAATATTTGAGAGGTGGTTCAAAGTTACAACAGCACTGAAAAAAAGTGACTAACAACCAGTCCTTATAACCATTGCAACATTCCCCGCATTCATGTGATTGATATTTGGGCTCTTGGCAACCAGCATGTATATACTGTACGACAGCTGCAGTGTCCCAGGGTCATGCATTCGCCAATTGCGACCTTCCCAGTTGGCTTCCGACAAGTCAATGAGGAAGGCATGTTAACTTAACGACTCCATAATTGACTTAACAACTGCAGCAATTTGCTTAATAATCATGGCGAGTAAGATTGTAAAGTTGGGCATTGATTCACTTAACAAATTCTGGTCTCGATTGCAGGCATAGGTCGAGGACTACTTTTACTTCTGACTCTCCCTGCCTTTAACCTGTTTTATTTGCTTGCTTTGAAAGAATTAAGAGAGGAATTAATCCCTCCTAATTAGGTTGCCCAAGTTTTCAGACATTTGGAGTAAAATCCTTTCTTCCTAAACATTTTAGATATATAATAAACAAGGCTGGTCTGTTATTCAATGTTGCTTGTTTTTTGATGTAAATATTTATGTTTCTGTATCCAGCTGAGACATTACAATGCCAAATGATCACATGAAGACTCAGTTTATACATTAGATATTTTCTTACAATTCAGCATGAAGTTTGTTTAATCTGGGCTTAATGTACTGTATAAACCCACCTAGCTTGTTCAATAACACTTCATTTTAAAACTATAGCTTATTAGAAGGTATGAACCAAACTATTATGCTGAATATGATGAAACCTAATCTAGGTTTCTGACACCCATCCCCAAATCTCTCTCTCTCTCCCTCTCCCCACTCCCCCATCCCTCCCTCCCTCCCTTCTCTCTCTCTCTTTCTCTCTCTTTCTCTCTCTTTCTCTCTCTCTCTCACACGCACACATAAAGATAAATTGAGAAAGAAAGAAACTTAACTAAAATGAACACTAAATCATGAAAATATCCATAAAGTGAAGTTCAAACATGGCTCTTGTTAGAAATAAAAAGAAAAAAAACCACTTTTAACCACTCCATGATTAAAATCCATTAGGGACATCAGAGGTCAGAAATATTTGCTTCAGAAGCTTGACAAATTTTTAATTATGAAATTCTAAAGGCTCTATAGACTCTGTTGTCTCTGTATATGGCTTTTGTTATTTGTTGCAGCCTTCTCTTTTTTTCTTGATTCTCTTTTTTTTAATACTTCTTTTTCTCTTTGTTGTTTTATCAAATAAAAAAAATCTAATAGACTCCAAATCCATTCCCCTCTCCCTTTTTTTAAATGACTTTAGCAGAGATCCAAAGCTTCAGATCAAACTAAAAAGCATTCCTGCATAAACCCCATCCTCAGTGAATATTACTCTGGAGCCACAGGTTTAATTTATTGCAAGTACCATCAGGAAATGGAAGTCAGGACTGCGATTCCCAAATATTATGCTAACCCCAAATCACTGGAACCTTGTCAGTATAAAGTTGAGGGGAAGACAATGCATTCAAACATCATAACTGCAAACACATCTTATTTCTTTAAAGAAAGAAAGAAAAAAAATACAAAAAAACATGACTTTGGGACCCACAACCACAAAAGGTTAGACATGACAATATTTGTGACTGTAACTGTCGAGTCCGTCGCAGGGAAAGGAGACTCGGGAGCCAGTGACTTAGTTCAGCTCTTTATTAAGTCCCGAGATCGGCTCGGGCTACAGAAGAAAAGCGGCGGCTTTTATTCTCTGGCTG